GCATATATCATAGTGAATCAATCTTTTCATATAATATGAAATGACCCACACAATAAATCCAGTTACCATTGAACAGAAGTATTACATTATTGATTTTATTCCCTATGCCAAACACTACATCCTTATGACTTCTTTTATAGTTGAAAAGTTTGTACCTGTTAATGCCCTTCACCTACCCTCCAACCCCTCCCGACTTTGGTAACCATCAGTTTATTCCCTATATGAGTCTGTTTTTGTTTGTTCATTTGCCACGTATTTTTAGATTCCAAATGTAAGTAAAATCATGGTATTTTTCTTTCTCTTACTTTACCTAGCACAATACCCTCTAGTTCCATCCATGTTGTCACAAATGGCAAGATTTCATTCTTTTTTATGGTTGACTAACACCCATTGAGTGTATATATCATGTCTTCTTTACCATTCATCTATCCATGAACACGTAGGTAGCATCCATGTCTTGGCTATTATAAATAATGCTGCAATGACATAGGGGAGCATTTATCTCTTCAAACTTTTTGATTTCTTAGGATAAATACCCAGAAGTAGAACTGCTGGGTCATATGATATTTCTAGTTTTAAGTTTTTGAAAATTCTCCATATTGTCTTTCATAGTGGCTGCACAAATTTATATTCCCACCAGCAGTGTGGGAGGGTTTCTGTTTTTCCACATCTTTTCCAGCACTTGTTATTTTCTGTCTTTCTGATAATAGCTAATCTGACCAATGTGAGGTGATATCTCACTGTGGTTTTGATTTGCATTTCCCTGATAATAAGTGATGTTGAACATCTTTTCATGTGCCTGTTTGACATCTTTTTTTCTTCTTTGATAAAATGTCCAATCAAATCTTCTGCCAGTTTTTATATGGGTTGTTTTTTTATATTAAGTTGGATAAATTATTTATATACTTTTGGATATCAAACCCTTATCAGATGCATGATTGTAAATATTTTTCCCATTAAGTAGACTGTCTTTTTGTTTTGTTGATGGGTTCTTTTGATGTACAAAAGTAAACTAAAAAACTTCTGTTATTATTGTACTTTTGTTATTATTGTACTTGCCTGAGGAGACTGATCCACAAAAATATTGCCAAAACCAATATAAAAGAGCTTGTTGAATTTGGAAGCATTCCTTCCACTCAATGCTTTGGGGATATTTTGAGTAGGGTAAGTATTAACTCTTTTTTAAATATTTGGTAGAATTCACCTGTGAAGCTGTCTGGCTCTGGAATTTCGGGGATTTTTTTTAATAACACTAATTTTAATTACTTGTAATTGTCTATTCAGATTACTTATTTCTTTTTGATTCAGTCTTAGAAGATAGTGTTTCTAGGAATTACCCATTTCTTCTAGGTTTTCCAATTTGTTAGCATATAATTGTTTGTAGTAGTCTTTCGGGATCCTTTGCATTTCTGTGGGGTCAGTTGTAACTTGTCTTTCAATTCTGATTTAATTTATTTGAGTCCTCTTTTTTCTTGATGAGTCTGGTTAGAGGTTGATCAATTTTGTTTATCTTTTCAAAGAATCAGATTGTGGTTTCATTGATTTTTTTAACGCTTATTTATTTTTGAGAGACGGAGTGGGGGAGGGGAGAGATGAGGGACAGAGGATCCAAAGTGGTCTCTATACTGACAGCAGAGAACCCAATATGGAGCTCAAACTCATGAACCATGAGGTCATGACCTGGGCCAAAGTCAGATGCTTGACTGACTGAGACACCCAGGCACTTCTTCGTTTATATTTTTAATTGACTTTTTGTTTCTTTTTTTTTTTTCTCTGATCCATATTGTTTCCTTCCTTCTACTAACTTTGGGCTTTGTTGTTGTTCTTTTTCTAGTTCCTTTAGGTGTAAATTTAGATGGGGGGAGGGGTTCTTGTTTCTTAAGGTATACCTATATTGCTAAGAACTTCCCTCTTAGAACTGCTTTTGTTGCATCCCATTAATTTTGGAAAGTTGTACTTCCATTTTTATTTTTTGCAAGAAATTTTTTGTTTTCTTCTATGATTTCTTCATTGACCCATTAGTTGTTTACGAGCATGCTGTTTAGTGTCCACATGTTTGTGTTTCTCCAGTTTTCTTGTAACTGATTTCTAATTTCACATTATAATCAGAAAAAAAATGTTTGACATTATTTAAATCTTTTTGAATTTAATAAGACTTGCTTTTTAATTAATTTTTTTTAATTTTTATTTTTTAAGTAGGCTCCACACCCAGCACAAAGCCCAAGGTGGCTTGAACTCACAACCCTGAGAACAAGACCTGTGCTGAAATCAAGACTTGGATTTCTAACTGAGCCACCCAGGCACTCCTATGAGTGAGGCTTGTTTTATGACCTAACACGTGATCTATACTGGAGGATGTTCCATGTGTACTTGAGAAGAATGTGTATTCTGCTGCTTGTGAGTAGAATGTTCTGTATGTATCTATTAAGTTCATATGGTCTAATATACTGTTTTAGGTCAATGCATCCTTATTGATTTTCTGTCTGGATGATCTATCCATTGATATAAGTGGGTATTAGAGTCCCCTACTATTAGTGTATAAATGTTTTGATTTCTCCCTTTATGTCTATTAATATCAACCTTATATATTTAAGTGCTTCTATTGGGAGCAGAACTATTTACAGATGTTATAGTCTCTTCTTGGATCAACATCCTTATTATTATTTAATATCCTTCTTTGTCTTTTGTTACAGTCTTGGTTTTAAAATCTATTTCTTTATATGACTATTACTAGAGCTTTCTTTTCATTCCATTTGCATGGAATCTCTTTTCCTATCCCATCATCTTTAGTCTGTATGTGCCCTTAGATTTGAGGTCAGTCTCTTGTAGGCAACATATAGATGGGTCTTGTTTTTTTTTTTTTTTTATCTATTCAGCCACCCCATGTCCTTTGATTGGAGCATTTAGTAATTACATTTAAGGTATTTATTGATAGATATGTATGTGTTGCCATTTTGTTAATTATTTTCTGGTTTATATCATACTTTTCAGCACCTTTTGTCTTCTGTTTGTCTCTTTCCTTGTGGTTTGATGGTTTTCTTCAGTGATATGTTTGGATTCCTTTCTCTTTATTCTTTGTGTATCTATTATAGGTAGTGGGTTTGTTGCTACCATGAGATATATATATGTATGTGTGTATATATGTATGTTTGTGTGTATATAAAATCAGTTGATAGCAAATTAACTCTGAACACATTCTAAACCAATTTTGAACACTGTTAAATCATGTAATTTGACTTGACTTTTCTCTTCCCCTTGCCACAAGTTTAGTTCAGATTCTTCTAATGTCTCTGTAGTATCACTGGAGCAGTCAGACTGCTGGACTCCTTGCCTCTAATCTCTTCTTCCTCTGAATCATTTTCAAGAATGATAATTCTCAAATGTAAGCTTTATCAGGCCCTAGTCCTGCTTAAAAATCTTTACTACATCCATAATGCTTTTAAAGTTAAAAGACAGTTTGGCATTCAGTGATGAGACCCTTCTTTCCCTGCCTGTTTCATCCTTACTGTTTCCTCAACTTCTCTGCCCTGTAATTAAGCTTAAGGACATTTTTTAAGTCTCGTGCTTTCTTCCAGCTCTGCACCTTTCACTGGTTGTTACTTTGCTTGAGTTGTTATCAGTTCAATACCTTTTTATCTCTTTCCTGATTTCCACAAGGATCATTTCTGATCCTTTCATACAGGAAGACTTCAGCAATCACCCCCAAAGACTTATTCACCGAGAAACTTATCATACTGCATTTTAGTTGCTTCATCATCTATCATCCCTGCTATGTAGTTATATTATGATCAGCAATGATTCATATTGATTATTGTGTCTCAAAAACCATTCAAGGTTACCAACACATAGTAGACTCTCCATTAACTTTTCTTGAATTAACAACAGGAGAAATTTAACCCACTAGCACTGACATCTTTTGACAATCTGCCTATATCACACATTTAGGACCAGATTGTTTTAGAGTAATTTAAAATATCAAATGGGCTGTGGATTACATGAGACTCCAACCTTTGAACACTTAATTGTGTGATAATGTGTTCACCAAGGGGAGAACTACAAATCTACTGACTTACAGAAGACACAGCAAGAAAAGACTATGAGCCTTCTTCAAGGGAGTGAGAAGATGAGTTACTATCACATTCTTTCCCTTCTCCCCCCTCCCTTACCCACTATACAATATTTCTTCACCTTCTTTTTCCTTATTGAGGAAATCCAGTCTCATATAGTCCACTTCTTAGTTTAAAAAAGATCAGCCAGGACCCTGCTGTGTGTGGGAAGAAGGATGGGAGAAGATGTTCAATATAGAGCCTAGAGGAATACACCACACAGCTGACTCAACTATCCTGATTCCCAGAATACGTATTGAAATTGTCTTACCTTTCACTGGCTTTGGCTCAGCAATCTGTCCTTTCTCAGATTAACTGTATCTTTCATATTTTATGCATTAATTAATATTTTACATGCTTATTATTTCTGAAGTCTCAAAAAAAAGGTTATGGATTTTTCAGAGATTGGACAGTTTTAACATTTAAATGGTACCCCTTATATATGCCATAAAATTCCTCTCAAACTGTTCATATGTTATCAAGCAGTATTCCAAACATGGCTTTTCCTTGACTGGTACTAGTTTTGTACGAACACCTTTCATTACATACCTATCACTGTAAAACAAGACCTTCAGCTGATGCTCCTCCACTGAGGTACCTCCAGCAGGCAGATGGGCTGCTGTGTGCACAGGAAGCGGGTCCGGCACAAAGCCATCCTAACAGCCTTGATAGCACTCTCTTCTCAGAACAGCGACTCACACTGTTATGGGAGGTAGATACATATGCTGTGAACTATTTTGAGACTAAAATATAAAATATGCTTTAGTTCTCAATGGAACCATAATAACTTTTATAAAATTTGGATGATTAAGAATTAGTGGCCACGATTAGGTCCATGAATACAATGTGACACATCAAAATAGCAAATTGTACTTTTTGTTTATTACTCTCAGGACATATGAATGGAGATTGAAGGAGGGTGGGAAGTTCTATTACCTCTGTGCTCAACTCCACTGTACATGCTGCTGTGACATAAAAATACACCCATAGCCCACACCCAGTCCAACTTCCAGCCTCCTACCCAGCATCACCAGGGCATGTGTCAGCATCTCCTTCCTGGTTGCCAGGGCAATGCAGGTGATGCCTGCCATATCTGAGTTAAGTGGGAGGAAACACAGGCAAAGCTCCTTTCTCTAAGTGATGTTCAGGATTCATCAAGTTGCCAGTTTTGATGTTAATCCGGATAATTGTCCCAGTAGTTTCTGCCAGGCCCCCTTCACCTCCTTATTCCTTACACTGTAAATCGTGGGGTTCAGCACAGGCATCAGAATGGCATAGAAGACAGAAATCAGCTTCTCCTGAAGGACAGAGGGGTTGGAGCGGGGCTGGATGTAAGTGAAAATGGTCATGCCATAGCACAGGACAACCACTGTGAGGTGAGACACACAGGTGTGGAAGGCTTTCTTTCTGCCCTCTGTGGACTGGATCTTCAGGATGGTGGAGATGATCCGGATGTAGGACAGGAGAACCAGGAAGAAGGGTGTCATCAGCAAGACGATGCTAGAAACCATGATCGAGATCTCATTGGAGGAGAAGTCAACACAGGCCAAACTGAACACAGCTAGGAATTCACAAGATATGTGATCAATATTCTTGTTTGTGCACATGGGCAGCTGAAAGGTGATGATGGTCTGCATGAGAGAGTTGATTGAACCACTGGCCCAGGATGTGATGGCCAACCTCGTACAGAGCCCTCCATGCATGATGACCGAGTATCGCAGGGGGTCACACACAGCCACATAGCGGTCATAGGCCATCACTGCCAGTAGAACAAACTCAATCCCACCCAAGCCCAGGGAGAAAAATAACTGGGCTGCACAGCTCACAAAAGGGATTGCTTTATGTTCTGAAAGAAAATGCGCCAGCATCTGAGGAACAATGCTTGTGGCATAAGAGACGTCAACAAGGGAGAGGTTGGTGAGAAAGAAGTACATGGGAGTGTGGAGACGGCTGTCCAGTCTGATCAGAAGAAAAATGAGGAAGTTCCCCAGAACTGTCACCAAGTACATGATCAAGAAGAGGACAAAGAGGGAGACCCGTGTGTCCCAGTCACTGGACAGGCCAAGGAGAATAAACTCTCTTACCCACGTCTGGTTATCTGTATCCATTAAAAAATGTAGGATTATTAACCTGCAGAAGGAGAGAGAAATAGCAGAAAATATTGAATTAACCATAAAAATAAATTCTTCAAAGATTGTTGTACACAAATATTGTATACAACCTGTCAGCCTTAGCCAGATGTTTCTGATCATGTGTGTACCACAATGACAAGTTTGATCCTAATATGCATTATATCTATTCTCCATAAGAGAGACAAGCCACTCCTTCAAAATGACAAGATAGCCTTAGTGATTTCATGGAGCCTAGAGATAATGCAGTGCAATTTTAGGAGCTCTGTGTCTTTTCAACTTACCATAGTTTCCAAGGCAAGAGAGGATTAGAGTTTACAATGGGGGATGAAGTGATAGACAACAAAGACAAACGTGATTCAACCTTACATTATCTACTACACCAAACATAATAAAAGAAATAAACAACAAAAAGAGAGAAAGACTCAGATGTGGCAGATGTATAGTATAAAACTGGCTACTGTCCCATGCACAGATCTGGAATTTGAGAAGCTGGAAATGAATCTTATGATATACCAGATATGTGATTTGGGTTAGAGACTTAAACTTTTACATACAAAATGTGATTACACTGCATAACCCACAGGTAGATTTAAGGTAATATAGATAACTTATGAGGAATTTCTACACTGTTACCGGTAGTTGGACTTCAGCAGGATTCAGCACTAGGTATCACAACATGAACTCCTCCCCAGAAGAGACAGAGAAACAAATGTACTTTCCTTTACACCCCCTCCACCCTATACTCAGTGCGAGAGTAATCCTCCTAAAACACAAATTGAATCATACCACTTCCATGCACATACAGATTTGGGATATCTAACTGCCTACAGAATTAAGAACATCATGGATGGGGGAGTGTCCAAATACTCATTAAGGTGACATGCTCTATCTTTTATTTTATTAATTTTAGCAATTTTTATTATCCAGGTGCTTTAGAGCAAAGTGTATTACTAAAGTATCTTGTTAATATTTAAACACCTTGCATGGCTATCTTAGCTAACTATTTTTAATCCATCAAAAGTATATTTATTTCTAAAGTCAATCGCCTTGATTTTTAAAATAATTTAAATTCAAAATAATTGATGTCCCAATATGACTGTTTTCTACAGGCAGAGTCTCCTTTTAGACCCCTGGTCGATTAAGAAAATAGAAATAGCATCTATGCTTATTTTTGTTTGTTTGTTTTGAGAGAGAGAGAGAGAGTTTGTGTGCACATGCATATGCATGCAGATGGGGGCAAAGAGAGAGAGAGAATGTCAAGCAGGTTCCACATCCAACGTGGAGCTCAATCTCACAACCCTGAGAATCACAACCTGAGCTGAAATCAAGAGTTGGATGCTCAACTGATGGAGCCTCCCATGCACCCCAAAAAAGCATCTATATTTTAAAAGCCCAATGAAGGAGGAGATATGGGTTGATCAGGTGATTTTACCACCTGCAGTGAAACCATTTCTATATTATTTTGGAACAGCTTTCAGCTAACTAGAGCTGAATTCCTAGTCTGTCCTCAGACACACAATGAAATAACAAATAGACAGTGCACTGCACATCTAAACATTCTGTGTTAGAAAAACATAGTTTAGTCTTCTCACCTCTAATGGATTTGGGGAATTTCATGCTATCCCCAAACTGTGCTAATTCTTTGGTGTCCATAAGTAAGACAGACTTTTGAGATTATTTGTTCCATTTTTCTCAGTAAAACTGAGATGTCCAAATCCTTCTCATGTAGGACTAGGGACACAGCTCTTGTTTAAAGCCAGGTGTGAACAATTAACACAGGAACCATTCTGGTTAACTCCTCCTCCTGTACAAGACCATTTTGCATTTTCTTCTCATTATGCACCTCATCTCTGGCTGCTCTTTGTGTACATATTTACTGTTCCTTTAATAAATGACAATAAATCAATAATAGCAAAATCCTGTTTTACCTCTTTTGGGTCATATCTTTCTCATACTCAGCAATCCTCCAACCACACCTATGTATGTCTGGAGATTTGTTTACCCAAAACTGAACAACGTATGCTGCCTGCTCAGAACATGGCATTAAAAAATGATATATTAGTGTAGTTCATCCCTTCGACATGAGCATTATGCAGGAAAAACTTTCAGATTCTTTTGCTCTATGAATTGTGCAGGGTAGGACAATTATTGAGACTATAACAAATAGAACACAAAACAATATGATATGAAGATGCCATTGAAATACTCTTTTACAAGTTTTCTCCTTCTTGACGCATCACGAAACTTTGAAACTCCAATAACAGCTAATTATCTCTTTTACAATGAAATTGCTCTCTTTGTCGATTTTATACATGTAATTATTCTAAATGGGATTTTTAAAGCATGAATCACCTAACCTTATTGTGACCTTTAAAACAGGTCATATAGAACACAGCCTTACAGATGATCAGGAATGACACTGAAAATACACAAAAAATCAGGTCTGAGGCATGGATACGGACATCAACTTTTCATTATTAAAATAGAACTTTGACCCCAGTTAAGGTATCTTGATGTACCTTCTCCCATAATTCAATTATTAATATAAACAGCTAATAGAAGCAAATGTTCTCTCTATAGGACAGAGATATGCAAAAAAAAAAAAAAATTCTGAGACTCCTAACACATTTGATCTATCTTTTAAAATAAATTTTTAATGTTTATTTTTTTAATGTTTATTTATTTATTTTGAGAGGGAGAGTGAAAGAGATAGAGCATGAGCAGGTGAAGGGCAGAGAAAGAGGGAGACATGGGATCTCAAGCAGTCTCCGCACTGACAGCGGAGAGTCCAAGGTGGGGCTTGAACTCACAAACTGTGAGATCATGACCTGAGCCAAAGTCGGACACTTAACCAACTGAGCCACCCAGGTGCCCCAATTTTATCTTAAAATAAGCATTTAAAAAGCTCAACTTTAGCCAGTCATGTTTTTTTTTTAATTTAAATAAAGAAAAATGTCCATTTCTTTGAAACCGATGTGGCATTATGTTTTGGGGAGCTAGCCAATCTTGGCTGGGACAACGGAAGTCCGGAACACAGAAGGAGAACACAGGAAGGTAGGTCCCACAACCTGCCAATACATTTTTCTTGCTGCTCAAAATCACTCAGAGCCATACCTTCATGAAGTTGAACTATCCAGAGAAATGACACTTTCATTTAGAGAGAGCTTTCTCTGACTTGTGACTGAAGAGTTGGTTGACGTCAGCACGGAGAGCATCCATCTTGAGCAGGAATATTTGCATCATCCTAACATAGGGAAACAGAGAACCCAGGGGTGGCTTGGGTGGCTGGTGTCTCCAAGACTGGGTTGACCTCCTGAAGGAACAGTCACTTGATTCTCTTCGGGGTCTTGTGAACTTCTTCTAGCCTGATTTGGTTACCTAACGTTTCACTTAATCAGAGTCCCATTCTTGAAACTCAGTTTCTCAAACATGTGCAAACCTGACATGCACTTTGGTGACATATTTGGTCTCATGTAAATTCTTGTCTTCATTATACTTCTTGTTCCCTGTAGCTAAGACTAGTGTTTTCATGGCAATATGATTCCCTCTGTCAGGCAAGTCTCCACAGTGCAATCCAGGAAACCCAACCCTGGGATGAATTAGGACACCTAAGTCTTGCCTCCGGTTCATTCCCCGAGTGTCAAGGGTCTTTGAATAAGACCTTAATTGCCTTACATCTTCATCTGTTACTAAACAAGAAAATCATAATATTGTGAGCATCAAACTCTCCAGAAATAATTGAGATAGGAGGATATAAAACAATTGATGATATGCCTTCTCTGGAAATGTCATATGCTAATATTACCACCACCTGCTCGTCAATATCAATACCTAACAAACGACTCCATACTTGTGCGCTTCTTCCCTAAGTGTCTCTGGCTATGTTAAGCTAAGCTTCGGGATTAAGAAGCCTGTTGTAAAATTATACCCAAGGCTCATGTTCCTGCAAAGCACAGTTACTTTACCACATTTGCTACAATAAGAGAGAAGACTTCACCAGCCATGTTCATGCCCCTGATCCAAGTTCCTAACAAGTCACTTCATTTCTGTCTCTGCCTCAGTCTCTGTCTCCGTCTCTGTCCCTGCTAAGGCCACACTCCCACAGGCTGTGGATGCCGCTCAGATGGTAATCAGCGCTGACAAAGGAGATGTGTCTGCTTTCCTCTAGGCTTAAGCTGGTCTCAAGGGCTCTGCCTCCAGCTAGGGATGGACCATAGTGAAGAGACATCCCAAATTCCGTGGACCCCAGGGCTCCTCTGTCACCTGGGACCAGCTGCCATTGAGAGGGTCACTGCTGGGAGGACATTGACAAGGGCTCAACAACGGCTCACACACAGACCTAATGAGCTTTGGCAGCAGCTGCATTGGCAGGGGAGGCTGACCCGGTCCCCCAGGAGCCTCCTGCATGACAATGTTAATGGCTGCCACCGCTCCCAATGCACAGGCCAGGGTCTCCCACTGCCCTTCTCCCTGTGGAAGGCTCTCCTCCACCCCTCTGCCTCTCCCATCTTCATGACAGCCTTAGGCCATTCTCAATTGCAGAGAAGCCAGCTTTCTGAGCTTGGACCATGTGCCCCTAGAGCCCAAACCAGACTAGCCTTCAAGGCCCCAATCTAGGAAGCAGTGACTAGAGCTGCATGTAAGTCTGGTGGACGCACCAATTCTGCCCTTTTGACTCCAGATGCCCCCACTTCTCCTTCTGGAGGCAGAGGAGATGTGCTTCACTCCCCGGATGTAGGTGCAGAGCCCACTGGGCTTCTGTGAGCACTGCCAGTAGGATGGACGTCCTAGTGCATCCTCGTGGTGCTATTTAAGCTCCGAAATTAACAGCATCACATAAACAGACTTAAAATCTACATGTACAAAAAGCTGATGAAGGAAGTATTAGCAATTACTGAAAAAAAATAATTAAGATCATCCAGGATCTTGAACACAGAAGGGTGAAACTTCTACCCCTCTTCAAACTTTTTTTAAGTTTAATTTTGTGCTTTTAGAGAT